GGGGGGGGGGGGGGGGGGGGGGGGGGGGGGGGGGGGGGGGGGGGGGATCGTATCTCTTTCCCTAACCCTAACCGCCAACTCCACTCCACCCCCTACTAAAACCAAGATTGATATACTCGCGAAGGCTACCGGATCAAGGAGGAAAACTACAAGCTTGGGTCAGCTGCTGCCCGGCTGCTGCTGCACGCCCCAAAGGAGCAAACGCACCGCCGTACTGCGCGACGCAGTCATACGCGATTCGGCATGCTGTCCCCATTCGGTCGCGGGCCAGCTGCACACTGGGCGAACAATTAACACTTGACCTCCTCGCCCGCTTTCTACTTTGAGCTAAAGGCACGTACCTAGTGCTCCTATTTTTTTAAGCCCGTCTGCTCGATGAAAAAGGCAGTCATCGAGAAAAAAATCTGGCTGTAGATAGTAGGAATACCGCCGGGGGGCGGGAAAATGGGCGTCACACACGTACACGGCATACCTGGTGCTGCTTCTTGCAACACGCAGTGATGCGGGAAAATTCGAGCTGTAGACGGTGCCATTGCCTCAAGGGGGGCACACCGGGGGGATGATACTCAGCGTCAGACGCACGGCATACCTGGTGCTCCTTCTTGCTTCCCTCGCGGAACCCCTGCCTTCGGACGATAGAGTAGCGAGTTGCGATGGTCGCTGCCTTGGCGAGGCTCCTGCCCGCGTCCTTGGCGATCACCACCCTTACCTGATTCATCATTCCCGTCATATCACCATGTCATGTCATGTCATGTCATGTCATGTCATGTCATGTCATGATACATACATACCGAGCGACGTGGCGGCTGTTGCTAGTGGCGGTGGTAGTTGTTGCTGCTGGTGGTTCGTTGATGTTGCTGTTGGTATTTGCTGGTGTTGTTGAATGTTATTGGTGTTGTTCATGTGATGGTTGGCGGTCACGGTGGTGGTGGCTGGTGTTGCTATCGATGTTGCAGTTCTTGTTGTCGATGTGGCTCGTGGAGGAGGTGGTGCTACAACCGCCATGTTTCTGTTATTCCTGGTGTTGTTGCTACCGTTTGCTGTCATGGTTTTGGTCTTGTCTTCACGTCAGAAACCGTACCAGCATCGGCCGACCATCTCCTCTTCAATCCTGCATACCGTTCAAGGCCAAGACTTGACTCTCCTTGGGCATCCGCGCCGTCGCAAAAGAAGGGGCAATAGGCCTATTCCGTAAAAGTGCGTGTGATGGCACCCATCGGTGATTTCGCACCCATCGGTGTTATGGCACCGGGGGGGGGGCGGNATTGTTCCCACAGGACTGATCACCGATGGACAATCGTTCCTTTCTACTTTGCCAAAGCTGCCTCAAAAATGTCTTCCCTAGTCTGTCTATCCTAACGAAATTTCTTCCCGCCTTTTCAACCCACCTCCTATGCCCCAGTACAGCTACCGGGGTGCGCAAAAATATCAAGAACGGCATGATTTAATTGTACTTCCGCGCCGGTATCGGTGTTATCGCACCCGGTACGATATCAACGATATAAAACCTGCTAGGACAAAATTTTGCGTGCTTCCGCAAGGTACCGGTACCCTCTGGGCCACGTGTCGAACAGTATGTAACGAGGTTGGCAGGTACCAATTGGGGCGCCATTTCATGGATGTATATCGTACCGTCGTGGTTTGCGCAGTAGAAATGCTTTTTTTGATTTTTCTACGGTAATTCGTGCATCGAACGCACTCACTCACTCAACCAAGCACACAGCAGAACGGTCCTACAATTGTTCCGATACCATGCCCCTTGAGGCAGACAAAGACAGAGGGAAGCGCCAGCCAACAAAAGAGGGGCTTTCGACCAACAAAGAGGCTGGAAGGAAAACGATACCCCGCCGTGTACGTACCTTCCCCAGCAGGGAACCCCAGCGTCGGTTCCCTTTGGCGCACGCCACCCCAAACTCGGATTCGACCTCATCACTATCACCACTCCGGGCTGGTTGCATGGTACCGTCTCCGCAAGCTCCTACCGCAAGAGTTACAGCATGCAAGACGAAGACATCTACGCCTGCTCGTTTCTTTAGTATCGCACCTATCGGTGTCATCGCACCGTGGTGCGCTCACTCAGCACCGCATCATGGCCACTGTGATTTCTACCATATCGCACCCATCGGTGTTATCGCACCGGGGGTGCGCTTGAAATCTAGAACGAAATAATTTAAGCGCATTTCCGCACCGGTATCGGTGTGTAGCACCGGGGTGCGATAAAAATCCAAGATAGGAATGATTAAAAGAACGATCGCACCCCGATGCCATCACACACACTTTTACTAACCCTCGAGAGGCTAGGCTCAGTCAGCAACGACGGAACCTTGCAACATTGCCGGGAGCTGAAACAGGCTGGCCCACACGTGGTAGGTTACAGGCGGGGGGG